GGGCCTCTTGTTATTTKTTTTATTTGTTCTTTTTAGACAATTTAGGACAATAGAGTGTATTTTTGACATATYATATATACGTGGAGTACAACTAATTCTAATTAGGATCCCATTCTTGTGGTTGAACACGATATGAGCATAGGTAAGTTATGTCTGATTCATTCTGCCGTCTTTCCTATTCTTATCCCCCTCCCTTCCCTTCATTCCCCTTTCTCTAATCCAATGAACTTCTACTCTTCCCTTCCTCACCCTCCCTTGTGGGTTAGCATCTGCATATCAGAGAGAACATTTTTTGGGGGGACTGGCTTATTGCACTTAGCATGATATTCTCCTGTTTCATCCATTTACYGGCAAATTCCATAATTTCCTTCTTCTTTATAACTGAGTAATATTCCACTATATATATGTACCGCATTTTCTTTATCTGTTCACCTGTTGAAGGGCACCTAGGTTGGTTCCATAGCTTAGCTATTGTGAATTGAGCTGTTATAAACATTGATGTGGCCATGTCACTATAGGATGCTGATATTTAAGCCCTTTGGGTATATACTGAGGAGTGGGATAACTGGGTCAAATGGTTGTTCCATTCCAAGTTTTCTAAGGRATCTCCACACTGCTTTCTAGAGTGGTTGCCCCAATTTTCAGTCCTATCAGCAATGTATGAATAAACYTTTCCCTACATCCCCGCCAACATTTATTGTTACTTGTATTCTTGATGATTGCCATTCTGACTAGAGTTAGATGGAATCTCAGTGTCATTTTAATTTGCATTTCTCTAATTACTAGAGATGTTGAACATTTTTTCGACCATTTGTATTTCTTCTGTAAAGTGCCTGTCCAGTTCCTTTGCCTATTTATTGATTGGCTTATGGGTTTTTCTGGAGTTAAGTTTTTTGAGTTCACGAAGGGCTTCTTCTACCTGGTGGAGTATGCTGTGGCGTAAGGCTTTAGACCCTTGCCCTGTAGGCCGCCTCCGGGGTTAGGAGCAGGAGTTACATGAGGTTTTATACAGGAGAACAGGCTTCCTATACTCCTGCTCTGGCCAGAAACCAGAGCAGTTGCTGGGTTTGTAGGTTAATGCCTCCAAGTCAGGAAACATCTCACTAATGCCAGTGCCTCTTCACCATCCCAGTGACAGYCCCCCACAGCCCCAAAGGAAGAATGGAAAGCTACCTTGAACTTCTAAACATCACTGCTACTTGACTTCCTGCACTTGCTCAGAATAGGTCCTGTGGTGGTGTGGAGGGWAGTTTCCAAAGACCCCTGTGTTAAAGGCTTCACCCCGGGAGGTGCTGGTGGAAGGTGCTGAAGTCTTTGAGAGATGGTGCCTGGAGGGATGTCCTTTAGGTCCCTGGGGTCCTGCTCTTCAAGGAGACTGTGGGTTCCCAGCCTCTCAGTCTCACTGCTTCCTGGCAAATGGCTTGCTGCACCACATGCTCCTACCATGATGTGCCACCCTTCCTCACCAGAGGCCCCAAGCAAAGGGGCCACTCAATCTTAGACTAGATCCTATAGAAACCCTAAGCCAAAATACATCTTTTTTTCTTTATAAGTTACTAGCCTCAAGTATTTCATTATTAACATGACTAATACAATACCCCTATTTTTTCCCCAATTACTATCAAATGTATAAGACCCATCGAGTGATGAAAAAGGTATTTTGTTCTTCCAGGAAAGAGTCCTCATGACCTGGGGACTATCTACATAGGTATGAGTAATCACTTTATGATTTCACGTATTAAATCCAATAAAGTTCCTTTCCACTAACTGTTTTATGTATCCTTATAGCATATTATTCAGAATCCACAATAAAATAAGTTTTCTACTGGACCCTGTTCAAGATCAGCACAAAATTACAGGCAAACAAATTTAACTGAACTCTGCTCTAATGACACCAGGTGGCGCTCTTTCCCAGCCTCTGAGGGCCTCTATTGAGCAGAGGGAGTTTTGCTTACTGTGTTGAAGAACCTGTCTGGTTGCAGAACCTGGSTATGTGACCTGGCTCTTTCTTGCCTTCCAAATAGCTTTCCTTGAAAGCTTCCAAGATACCTCCCACAATCAGAAGCCTCGGYGTTCAATAACTGGAATTAGTACTAACCTCAAAGTGGATAAAGATAAGTTTCACCAAGAAATGTTCCCAAAAGTGTTCCTGGGAGTGCAAGARTATTCTTGGAAGTAGGGTACAAGTGGTATGGAATTTAAAGCTAATCCATAAATTGCTAGAAATCTTGGATTTTGTAGCCAATCATACCTCCCAAGGGTTCAGGTGGGTAGAAGACACTCCAAGGAGGTAAAGAGAACATTTGTGACCAACAAAAGCACTTAACAGCTCATCCTGAAGCTCTAAGTCCCTTTGCCCAAGTTTGAGGTTTACAAACAGTGCTGAACAAACTGAACATTGCCTTGTCTTTTCCCTGACTTTATTACTACAAAAKCTACATTTAAAAGTGACTAAATCCTAGATTTGCTCTAGATCCTGCTTCTGGATACATGAAGGAAATTTCTCAGAAGGAAGGAACACAGGAGATATTTCTGAGAGCAGCTAACATATGGTTTGCAGGCATCCTGAATGGTGGACAATAAGCTGGACTATTCTAATTTTTTTWTTATTATTTTTTGGTACAGGGGATTGAACTCAGGGGTGATTTACCCTTGAGCTGTATCCCCAGTCCTTTATATTTTTTACTTTGAGATAGGATTTCACTAAATTGCTCATGGTCTTGCAGAGTTGCTAAGGCTGGCCTCAAACTCGTGATCCTCCTGTGATCAACYTTCCAAGTCCATGGGATTCAGGTGCATGACACTAACCCTATCCCCTGTTCCCCATCCCCCSACTCCAGGGTAATTTTCCAATATTTTCATTTCTTCCAGTGGGGTATCCAGGTAACTATAACTTGTATTACCAGGCTAACAACAAAAATGGATGCCCCTTTAAATCAAACCGTTTTATAGTGACCCATGGTCCTTAATTGCAATCATGCCTGGAACAAAGGCTATGACTAATTGAACTAGAATACTATTGAACTATCTTTATCGTRTGAACTTTGAATTATTTGATTTTTGTCAGTTAAGTTCATGGAGACATGTGTCAAGAAGCAACTTWAAAAAAAGTACACTTTTACAAATAACCTATTGAAACTCACCCTTTAAGTGTAKGGTAATCAATAGGTGCTTGAATTAGGGTCATGCAGCTACTCACACTGAAACGAAAAAAACCGAAAAACTCTTCAAGATGTTTCTTACTTTTGAARAGATTCCTATTTTCCTCAGGGAAGTAATTAATCATTATAATCAAAATCAAAATAAGTCAATGAAAAGGTATTCCTATAATAATAAAATATTTGTTTTGAAGAAAATAACACAAGACAATCCCTGCCTAACAGCGGTTCCACTTACAATTTTTTGACTTTACAATGGTGCAAACATGATAAACATTCAATAAATACCACCCTTTAAAAAAAAAGCATACATCAGTTTATTGTCATCCTCTCCCAGATTGCCACTATAATCATCTCCCTGGTGTGTTGTATCCCTTCAAAAGTCCTAAATGCTTCTCTGTAGACATCCTTTGTTACTAAATGATTCATATGCACAGAACAACAAAAACATAAAGCAYAAAGCACTGCCCAACCGCCCAACTAATTGGATTTTTGTGAATTGTGAATTTCATACTGAGACAAAACAAGTCCATTATGATGATGGCAGAAAGTGGTGTCAGTGGTCAAGGTTTTAGCCAATCCCTTAAAACTGATTAGTTTACCAAAACAAGAACAATTAAAATTGTCCTAAAGCTCCTCCAAACTATAACCAAACTTCACAGGTAGGTGAAGGCAGGCTGCCTTGGGAGCACAGTTTCCACAGCAGTGGCCGAGTCTCAGCCAACACTGCACCTGCGCKTTCAGCCAATCACAGGCTGCAAACTTCTCAGACAAGTCCAAACCAAGCCAAGGCCAAGTGGTAACCCAACRGGTTATTCCTGCAGGCACTTCCTTCTTCCCTCTGTAAATACTGCCCTGCGGCTCCGGAGCTCCCTGAACTTTACTGTTCCCGCGCGCTGCCTGGTTCATGAATCCCTTCTTTGCTCAAATACCGATAAATTTAGCCCAAGTTCTTGGAACGGTGGCACACACTGCTCAGGCGCTGAGGCTGACAGCCTCCGACCGACCTCAAGCCTGTGTCCTGCAGGAGGCACCTCCCCGTGGGCTCCCCCAATCCCACCCCATTGCTTCAAGCATGAGTCTTGGCCCCCTTGCATCATGGCCGCGCTGCCTCCTTGCTCCAGCCTCCTAATGTGCCTGCCCATCCTCCACCACTCTTCTTCCAAGCAAGCCTGCCGGTTCAGCCAGCCGCCTCCTCAGCTTGGCAAAGCCCTCTCACAGACCGGTGCCAACGCGACCTGCCAGCTTGTCTCACAATCTCCCCTGCAAGGCCAAGTTCTGTGGAGCTGGCCCAGCTTCTCACTRTTCCCTTAACAGCACACGGAGATGGCCTCCTGCCCATTCCCTTGGCAAACTCCTAYRTGATCTTCAAGACCCACTGGGTCATCCTGACCCACCCTGTCCTGCGTTCCCACAGTGCTCCTGTAGGTARTAATGAGGGTCCCTGAGCTTTATGCAACACTGAGGATAGACTCTTCAGCCATTCTGTTTCCAGTGATGAAGAAAGGGTCACCCTCTGAGGCTAGCAGTTTTGGAGCCACACCAGGAACTGGTATCTAGCTCATGGATGTGTGGCCCTAACTATCTCCCTGGCCCTCAGGGGCCCATTYCCCCAAACCTAACCACATGACTTTGAGGGACAGGCCTGAGCAGGTGGCTCCAGTTGAAACTGGTGAACAGAAAAGGCAAAAAAAAAGTGGAAAGAGAGGGGTGAGCCCTGTGGTCAGAGATCAGGAGGGGTAGGTAGGCCACATCCCCTCAGGTGGCCACACCTCAAAGCCTGAACTTTGACTGACCCGGAGAGGTAGTGAAGCCAGGCTGTGCCCAGGGAGCTGGAGGTGCCAGGCTTGCTCCCTCTGCCACAGTCAGAGCCACCATGGCCTGGAAGACCTGGGAGCTGCACCTGCTGCTTTTGCTGGGGCTGGGACTAAGGTCCCGGGGGGCCCTACCGCCRCCCTGTGAGAGGTAGGCTTCTGGGGAAGGCTTCTGGGGGCAGAGAGGTGGGCTGGGATGGAAGGCTGGAGTGAGGCCTCAAGCTCTGAGATTCAGCTCTTCAGAGGGAAGAGGGAATTAGGTTTTCTTGTGTAGCAGGCTCTGTGCCAGGCACCAAGCCTCCAGTCCTGGGACAAGGTGAAGCTGCCTGAGAATGGCCTGTACATGGTCCAGGAGCCTGCTGACCACAGCCTGTCCTCCAAGCTGCTCTTTGAACCACAGGACTGTTCTCAGGATTATATTATTCTAGCAAATAGTGATAAGTGCCTCTGGGTCCAGTCCCGGGTACCAAAATAAACAACTGAGCAATGCGGAGATCGGGGAACGTAAACCTATTTCTTTACTTCCCTCTAAGGCCTGAAATGCCAATAAGAGCTGTTCTGTCTGTCAGCAAAAGAGACTGAGGCCCCTGGCTATTGTACAGAATCCCCTGGGAAAAGGCCCTGGACACAGGGGCAAGTTGGATTGATGCCAGGGATCCTGGAAGGCTGCAGGTGTGTCCTAACAGGAAGGGACAAGGCTTTGCGTGGCAGTGCAGGYGGAAATGCTCAAAGTACTGCAAGAGGACCAGGACAGAGGACGCAGCAGTTGAAGCATTTCTTATCTGCCACAGAGCAAGATGAAGGCGTAGAAGGCTGCTTACACACCTCCCCACACGTGCTCACACTCAGGGTCCCTGCTAGATAGAGGGCTCCGCTTTTCTGGGGAATTGAGAGGTGGGGGGCTGGTATGATGATCCAGTTCTTCCCATGGGGGGAGATGACAGYATAACTATACTTTTTTCCTTGGTACCCACGTCACCTTTTTTTTTTTTAAATATATATTTTTAGTTGTAGTTGGACACAGTACCTTTATTTTATTTATTTATTTTTATGTGATGCTAAGGATCCAACCCAGTGCCTCCCCCATGCTAGGGGAGCGCTCTACCACTGAGCCACAACCCCAGCCCCCCCCTCCCCCCCGCCCAGCCCCGCCACATCACCTTTCTCTATCCTGCGTGATACGGTGGTCTCAGTAMCAACTGCAAGAAGCGGCGATGATTCCTAAGTTTAGAAAATGTAACTAAACTTTWAAACCTTCATGTGAGAATTTCTCAGGGCCCTGTGGGTGGCCAGGCCTTCTCTCCCTCTGACAATATGGGGCCAGCCGCAGAGGCAGCCGCTGTGCTGCGTTAGCCCACCTGGTCTGTAGGGATGCAGCCCTGCCTATGTGAAGGCACTGAGGGAGAGGCACTTGCTAGACCAAAATTGCTAACTGCAATCTGCACAGGCACAGTGGCAGAATCTAATGTCTTTTCCAAAGGAGGAAATGTCTGGGTATCCGTGGAGAGAAGGAAGGATTGCCGCTGGGGGAGGAAAGGAATGAATAGATGGATCAATGATAAGTGCAAAGAGGGAACTCCCCTGTTCTATTAGTGTTCTGAAGGAGGCTCAAAGGAAGGGATGACATCGCCTCTTAGTCACTTACACCAGGTGCCTGCCTTGGCACCTGATAAGATCAAATGGAACCCTGTACACCTGAGTGGCCTTATCCTGGAGGACATTTTGTCCTGTGATATGATGATAGCCTGTCATTGAGGACAATAGGGCTCTAGTGTTATGCCAACATAGTTTCACTTTTATTGTTCTGCTATTATCTGCCATATGGTGATATTGTAAAACATTGGCATTGTTGATAAGATTATAATGCTAATATTAATGGTCATATGTATTRGAAAACCACCCCATCTCTTCCTCCTTGCTAGTTTCTCTAAATTTTAATTGTAGCATTTTGATGCTGTTTCTTTATCTGTTAAAAAAAAAAATGCTACACCAAACATAAATGCTGAGAAAAAGTATGACTGTTTTGCTGTAGGGGACTGGTGGCCAAAGACTAGGGGGTGGACTGTTGTATAATTAACAGGTTTGTTCTTTGACCTCAGTTCTTGGGAGGTGACCTCTAAACTCTTGGAATTTCCCAAATGATAGGATTGTCTTTGGTATTCATGGCCATCTTATGCTAAATAGCTTTTGCTGAGGAATTGACTCAGTCAGGGGTCAGGCCACTGGGGAAAGCCTGACCATGTGGTTAGGAGGTGGGCTCTGAGCCACCTGGTACCAGCCCAGACTCCTCCTTCTGGGTGGGGGGCAGGGGCTGGAGWTGGATTCCAGTTGTGGTCCACGATTCAATCAGTCTTGCCTATACAATGAAACCCCAAGCTCTGGATACCCAGGATTGGAAAGGAAGTCAACCCGGCAGTGGGCGGGAGGGCTGTGTGTCCTGATTTTACAAGGAAAAGACGTGGGAGCTTGCCCTCAGGACCTTCCCACACCTCCCTGTGTGTGACTGTTACTGTCCAGGGGTCTTAGGTTAATGGTTTCCATTCAGCAAAGAATTAACGAATGGGACAGAGATAGCAGTTGAACAGAGATGTGTTCCAAGCCACAGCAACAGACTTCAGGAAGGGGCCTGGAGCTAGGAGTCAGCTAGAGAAGTTCTGGATGGTTCTTTTTATGGTCTCTGGAATCCCTCCTTTGCTTTTCTTCTCCCCTGCCCGTGCTCTCCTCTCTATTGGTGTTCYCTGTGTCCTTGTGTCTGTCTTAGTTTGTCTGTTGGACACACTAAAGGAGCACCAGCTCACAAGCATCTATCTGATTGTGTCTGACTGTTTCTCGCTGGTGTCCGTGAGCACTTGCGCCAATCGGGAAGTTGACCTCCTTGGCGGACCTTCTCCCTGCTCCCTTGGTCTGGAGGCCCTCTGACCTCCTCCTTCACCATCCTGCCCTGGCCGCCTCCCCCTTCTACATCTCCCTTGTGTTTCTTCATTTCATTATTAGGATAACGCTGTTGTGGAGCTGGGGCTTTTCAAGGAACTGAGGCAGCGCAAAGGCCCCTCTCAAACCCCAATTCTTGTAATCAAGTCAGAAAGATTTCAGACATGTCACTCAGAGTAATGAGTTTATTGAAGGGACACGAAAAGGGAAAGGGGACACTTTCAGGGGAGAGAGTGGATCCTTTCAGAGAGGAGGACAGTGTGCCTCTCCTGCACTCCAGTTTTATTGGGGATCCCGGAGAATTCCACCCAGGTCCACCTCTTGACTTTTGACTGACAACAGATTGACAGACAGCTCTATGACAACTCAATGTCACCTTGGCCCATGGTGACTAGTTATATTGTATTCTTTTTTTTTTTTTTTTAAGAGAGAGTGAGAGACGGAGGGTGAGAGAGAGAGAGAGAGAGAGAGAGAGAGAATTTTTTAATATTTATTTTTTAGTTTTCGGCAGACACAACCTGTGCTAGGGATCAAACCCAGGCCGCATGCATGCCAGGTGAGTGCGCTACCACTTGAGCCACATCCCCAGCCCTATATTGGATTCTTAATCATCTTTATAGGTTTTTATGGTTAGGAAGAATTATCCTCATCTTCTGGGATCTGTTCTATGAAAAGGTCACAAATGTCTCTTCCTGTAACTTGGGTTCCTCTCTTATCGATGTTATTTCCTGCCTGCATTTCCTGGCAGATAACAGGGAGTTTGCTGAGGAATGTGACATAGCCTGTCCACTTAGGCCAGGGAGGGCTGCAGGTAAATTGCTTTTTGGTAAAGAAAACCTGTGGAGTCAACACAGTGGGCCTATTTTATAGAATTATTCTCTTACCCTGTGTTCCCACCATCCACATCTCTCTGTCTCCTAACAAAACTATAATTTTAAATATAGTTTGTCTACTGTACTGATTTGTAYAAAACTAGAATTGTAAGAATAGCACCTCCCAGGGCTGGGGCTGGGGCTCAGCGSTAATGCACTTGCCTGGCATGTGTGAGGCACTGGGTTCAATTCTCAGCACCACATATAAATAAGTAAAAATAAAGATCTATCAACATCTAAAAAAATATTTAAAAAAAAGAAGAATATGATCTCCCAGAGTTCCATGAGCCACTTTAGCAAATTACCAAATATAAGGGATTATGKGAACCCCCAGATTTGCAATGAGTTGGCTGAAGTACAAGTAGTCTGGGGACCCCCAAACATGCAGCTGGCATCTGAATTGAGTATGGTTTTATTAAGCTGTGCCCTGAAACCTGTGCAGTCCACTCAGCATCACAATTAAATTGCATATACCAACATTCCTCTGACCTCTGCTCTCTTATGACAAAACCATTGTATTTGCTGGGTATTTAGTATAGAATTAAGTGATAGATACAGCAATAATATCAGTCAGTCTGTGCCTGRTATGAGAAGAAAGCAATGATGGCTAGAGATAGATTTAAAGAAACTACTAATGTGACCTATTTGCATCTTATGATAAACTTGTGCACTAAAGGAGCACCAGCTCACAAGCATCTAGCCAGRCGTGGTGTGCACAYCTGTAATCCAAGCAGCTCGGGAGACTGAGGCAGGAGGATTGCAAGTTCAAAGCCAGCCTCAGCAAAAGCAAGGTGCTAAGCAACTCAGTGATTCAGTGAGACTCTGTCTCTAAATAAAATACAAAAATGGTGGGGAGCTGGGGATGTAGCTCAGTGGTTCAGTGTCCCTGAGTTCAAATCCCCAGTACCCCCCCACCAAAAAAAAAAAAAAAAACTTACAGAACTGATATAGGACATATGAGGCTGGACACCTGAGGAATTTTCAGGAAGCAGTTTTATTTAAACTGCAGTGGTCCAGAGGGGCTAATACCCAAAATTCTCTGAACCTCAAGTCTGGAAATTCTCTTAGATTAATACTCAGCGAGGTGGTTATTACACAGTGGGTGGGTACATGACAGTTACACCTTGTCCCATGATTTAGGCTAGACAGAGGTTTTTCAAGTTTTCACCATGGAAAACAGATAATATCTTTAGCACAACAACAAGCTTGGTGGCAGACCTCGCTTTTACAAGAGAGAGAAACCTGGCCTTTACAAGACAGAGGAAGCTTCAAATCACACTGAGTTCTTTGCAGAAATCCTGCTAACATTCTTTGTAAAGATCTTGCTGACTAAGAGAAGCTTGTATGTTACAAATATGGTGGGGGGTTTCTGGAGATGCTTAATTATGGGTGGGGGTGGGGAGTACCTGGTCTGCATCAGAACTGCTTAGTATAGAAATTAGCAGCAGGTGTGGTGGCACATGCATGTCATCCCAGAGGCAGGAGGATGGCAAGTTTGAGTCCAGCCTCAGCAATTTAGTGAGACTCTGTCTCAAAATTAAAAAAATGAAAAAAGGGCCAGGATGTGGCTCACTGGAAAAGCACACCTGTGCTCAATGCTCAGTTTTTGTTTATTCTTTTTTTTTTTTTTTTGGTAAAGGAATAAACAAAAATTCCTCTTCAGGCCGGTCACTTTCCATTGGTATTACATCCTCAGGAAGCTTTGACTCAGTCTCCTAATATGGTCAGTCGTCACTCTCAGTACTATCATATGATTTGTTTATATAAGGTAGTTAAATCTTATCAACAATGCCAGCATTATGCCATATCATAGCATGTTCACAGAACAATTCTGTTTCCTTATAGATGTGCCTGTAAAAATTACAGAGATGTTTTCTATAAAGCCCTCCCAGTAGAAGAATAGACATTATGAATAGACATCAGTGCAGGTGACATGACTTGATAATTTTCAGGGTTCTAGGTTGGTTGGGGACAAGGCYAGTCACCCTGCCTTAGTTCGCAGGCTTGCACTGAGACTGGTTTCACTGTGTGCACCAATAGTACAGGACCCCCCTCCTACAGGGAGGACATGGTGGTATTCAGAATAGTCGTCTCCTTGCTAACTGGCCTGCAGGGTAGGTAAGGACAGACATAGTGCATCAGTGCATGTTGCAGGTACCCCCGGAGAACCCCCACAAGTAGGAATGCCCCTAAGATCCCCAGAGCTGTGGCCTTGGAGCCTCAGCAGCTGGAATGCAGGGTGTTGCCGTGGTTGCTTTGGTCTTAAGTCTGTGTTCACTAATCAAGAGGCCCTGCTGSGGCAGTGCACTGGCCCTTGCCCACGCTGGGTCCAGTCATAATCCAGCATGATTAGCACTTGGCCTGACTCTTCACTAGAGTGTCCTCGTTGGTCATTATTCCTACGGCTTGATCCCCTCCTGGGAGAGAACTCCCCAACCTGCTTGATCTAGTTAATAAATCCTTTTCCTCTGAGTGCTGCTCCTCATTAAAAGCATATTCATCTTGTTCCACAGTCGGGGAACCTGTCTCGCCCAAAGCCTCCTCTGTCTCCTGGCCAGTGGTGTTCAATCTGTCCTGTCTGTCATTGTCTTTGAGTGTGGAGGGCCTGAGCGCTGGGTTCCCACTGCAGAGTGAGAGGCACGGTGGGTCGTCGAACTGAAGTGAAACTGAGTATGCTGAAGGAAGGCCCACAGCCTTCCTCGTCTCAGGACGGGGCTGTTCCTCGGGAGCAGTTGGACGGCCAGATGCTGCCACGCTTTGATCCCCTTAGAAACCCATCTTCYTCTATTCTGTTGGGTAATCATCTGTCTCCAAAAACAAAGGTGGCCGGCCTCTGTGCATATAGCACACAGTGTGGGCTCAAGCGTGCTGCTGCTGCCGCTGCTATATTTTGTCCACCGTAACCAGGAACTTTCTAAGCACTTGATTATCAAGGTTTACAGTTACAGTGATTTGTCTGCCACACGGTAAACCACCCACTTCAAAGGGCCAGTAGGGAGAAGTTTCCGGAAATTCTTTCCCAAATGCTCTGCTCTCCTTGTAGTAAATGTAACCTGAACCTAAGAGTCAAAAGACTGGCACATTCCTCAAGTGACATCCAGTCCTCAGCAATTGGTCCAGCTCATCAGCTTATCATATGACCAGCATGTTTCAGAGCAGTGCCACCCGGGTTCCCAAAGCAGGAGGACTCCTGGCAAATGCAAGGCTTCCCACCCGCAGGCATCTGCTATGCCCATRCTAAGAGACGGTATTATTCTCTTGTTCCAAGTCCCTCTCAGGCGCCAACGTGATGTTAGGTTTCCTTCACTGCACAACTCATTTATTTATTTATTTATTTACCTACAGCTACGTTTCTTCTCTCCATTACCCATCAGTTTTTTTTTTTGTTTGTTTGTTTTGTTTTTAATATACTGGGTATCAAACCTAGGGACATTTTACCACTGAGCTATGTCCCCAGCTTTTTTWAGTTTTTGAGACAGGGTCTCAAAGTTGCCTAGGGCCTAGCTAAGTTRCTGAGGCTGGCCTTGAACTGGCATCCTCCTGTCTCAGCATCCTGAGCTGCTGGAATTCCAGACATGTGCCACCACACCAGCTTCACATTGTGTTTCTTGATCTGAAGGAAAGTCGCCCAGCAATCCACAGAGCTGCAGGATCTTCTGTTCCAAGATAGCATTTCATAGAATTCTGAGCATTTGCGTCTATACACAGGTGTGTTCTGTCACTTTAGCATCCCCTCTTAAATTTCTATAATAACTCCCATTGGGTTCTGCCCCGTAGGGAGGACATCTCTAATAGTTCAGTTTTTCACTGCTCATCTACCAGGCCATTGGCCACTGCCTGTGAGTCAGTAAAAACCCAAACAGAGGGGGTTTCATCATCCAGCTTTGCCTTCACTGCAGGACAACAGCACGCAATTCAGACCCTGGGCTGATTTGTTCTTACCTTCTTCAGAGATTCTCTGTTAGAGTGAGTGGCCTCTTAAACAAACCCCGAAATCCACCAGCTTTTTGTTGGTCAATAGAGAGCTCCCAGGTGGCCATAGGATCCATCAACCCCTTGGGGCCTGCCAAAGTTGGCTATGGGGGAAGAGAAGCTGCCTGCTCATCGGTACAGCAGCCTCTCCTGGCCTCCTTCCCGCTGCACGAAGCATGTCCCTGAGCACCATTGCTATTGCATGAGGAGCTCTTCTGGGCTCCGCTTCTCCACCAGAAAACTCTGTTGACATCATCAAGACCTTTCGGGCATTTCAGGTTTCAGAATAAGTATCCTGTAGTCATGGAGCAGTTTCAGTGAGCACCCAAGAGCAAACTAGTCACTCTTTTACATGGCATCCATTGTACACCACATCTGGAAATTTTCTGGTCTGAAATCTCAAGTTTCCACCAGGTGCAACTCACAGGCTTTTGTTATAACACTTCCTGGTCCTGGTTGGATCCACACGAGGCTGTTGTGCAGAGAGCTGGCCCACGCCAGCCCTCCAGGGGCTAATACATCACTGACTGAAGCACTCAGCTTCTTTCTTCACCAGCTGCCCTGCACTGGGTCCACATAACAACCAGCCAGGTCCCTGGCCACTGCGCACTTCCTTCACTATACGAAGACCCTGCTTGTTCTCCCAGCCATGTCTGTCACCACCTCCCACAAACTGCCACCACAACAAACACCACAAACATGCACRGTCCTAGTCCAGTCCCGGGGAACACTCCCTGAAAAGCCTGTTCAGGCTCTAGCCTCTCTCTGACCCWTTTCGCCCATGAATGTTGCTGCAGCCAGATTTACTGCCATGGGGAACTCCTGCACCAAGTTCAGATGGCCAGGCTCTTTCCAGACGACAAGCAGTTTGTGGACATGTCGCTCTCCACAGCTCCAGGTGAGGCCACCTCCTACCCAAAGAAGGCAAGGGAGAGCAGGGCGCAGTGGTGCATGCCTGTAACCCCAGTGACTTGGGAGGCTGAGGCAGGAGGATCAYAGGTTCAAAGTCAGCCTCAGCAACCTAGCAAGGCCCTAAGGAATTCAGCAAGACCCTGTCTCTAAATAAAATATTAAAATATGGCTCAGTGGATTCAATTCCTGGTACCAAAAAAAAAAAAAAATGGCAAGGGAGAGAGCAGGTGGAGAGCAGCCTGCTGAGCCCTCCCTGCTGGTGCTCTCCAGACCAAGTCCTGCAGAGGTTCGGCGAGCTGGCTGAGGCCCACAACCACAGCATCCCCAGGCAGCAGCTGCAGGAGTTCGTACAGCAACACTTCCAGGCTGTGGGGAAGGAGCTGCAGCCTTGGACCCCCGGGGACTGGAAAGAGAGGTATGAGTCTGGAMAGGGGATGGGAAAGGACCCTTCTGCCAGGAGGGCCTCCCTGAACCCTGTGGGGCCGGCACTCTTCCAGTCCCCAGTTCCTGCAGAAGATCTCGGATGCCAAGCTTCGTGACTGGGCACRGCAGCTGAACCAGATCTGGAAGAAGCTGGGGAAGCAGGTAACGCTGTCCTGGGGATGCCCAAGGGTCTGGCCCACAGCTCTGGGAGTGGGAGATRGATGGTTGTTGGGCTCCTGGATCAGGCCTCTGCCTCGGGACAGTAACTGCTGCTGCKTGTGTGTGGGGAGCCCTCCCTCAGCACAGTCCCAAGGAACTTTCTCCCATTTGTCTGAGGCTCAGAGAGGCCCGTAGTTTGTCCACCTGGAGGATCCCCCTGAGTGGTCTCCCAGGACCACCTGAGTGCTCTCCAGTGGCCTCTGTTTGCTGGCACTGAGAGCTGCTCAAATCACCCTCGACAGCTTGGCCACCTTCTTCCTCACAGGGACSCACCTGTGCCCCGTTCTGCTAGTCCCTCAAAATGACTGAGGCAGGCTGAGCTTCCACTGATACCATGCACACTAGAAYTTGGACAAATGGGCAGAGAAAGGAGCTGCTGAGCCCTGTGCAAGCCCCACACTGCTCTTGCCCTTGCTGTCCCTTGGCCTGATTCCTGGGGAAAGGCATTCACCACAGCTGGGGAAGCATTTGAGATTTTGTTCCCACCTGCCAGAGCTGCGGGTGGGAGGCTCGCCCATGGGGCCTGACTTGGATTGGTGGTAGCCACACAGAGGTGGGAGTGGAAGGGAAATGAGGGCCAGCACCCCCTCTCCTGCTTAGGCCCCCAGGTTGCTGCCTGGTGGTCACCTGCCAGGTGCCAAGCTGAGTGGTCAAGGCTTCCACACACGGATAGGTTGAGCCAGGACCCTGAAGGCTGTGGAAGAATGAGGACCAGAAGGCTCCTCATGGCCATGCAGCAGCAGAGACAGATCCTGGCTCCTCAGMCATGGCACCAGGGCCTCTGCCCCCACCACCATAGCCTCCACCCTCGTGTGGCAGTAGGCTCCCCTGTACCCTCTCTCCTGACTCCAGATAAAGCCAGAGGTTCTCAGCCAACCTGAACGATTCTCTTTGATCTACTCAAAACACCCCTTCATTGTGCCCGGCGGGCGCTTCGTTGAGTTCTACTACTGGTGAGAATCCTCAGGGGTTGGCAGTGGTGGGGGACGCAGGGATAGTGCCCGACTGGCCTGGCTGTGCAGGGCCCGAGGGCTGATGCCTGACTGCCCCCTTTCCCAGGGACTCCTACTGGGTAATGGAGGGTCTGCTCCTCTCTGAGATGACAGAGACTGTGAAAGGCATGCTGCAGAACTTCCTGGACCTGGTGAAAACGTAAGTGGGCTCCTCCAGATGGGACTGGGCAAAGCAGGCTTGCAGCTGGATCCGCCTTGGCCATTTCATCAGGCCCCCCCTTTTTTTTGGCAGCTATGGGCACATCCCCAATGGCGGGCGCGTGTACTATTTGCAACGGAGTCAACCCCCGCTCCTGACCCTCATGATGGATCGCTACGTGGCTCATACCAACGACATCACTTTCCTACGGTGGGTCTCCCCCCCCCACCTTGTGCTGCCCTGCAGGACTACCCTCTACTGGAGACCTCCCAGGAGGGGGGCCACCCTGTGCTTGGGCTGAGGCTCTGCTGCCTGCACTGCAGGGARAACATCGAGACCCTCGCCTTGGAACTGAACTTCTGGACAGTGAATAGGACCATCTCTGTGTACTCAGGGGRAAAGAGCTATAACCTGAATCGCTATTATGTCCCTTTTGGGGGACCCAGGTAAGGAGCTGCGCCCTGCCACACACACACAGTCTTCTTTTCCATTCACTCTGGTGTGAGCATCACAGACCCAGGATTGGGGGAGCTGCAATTTAGCCTGGCCTCTCAGATGGGGATGTTGAGAGCCCTGAGCCACCTAGGGCTGTGGGGCCCAAGGGCAGCTGAGTGGAAATAGCTCAGTCTCCTGCTTGAGCAGAGGGGCCGAGCACCTCCTAGTGCCAGTCCGCACCTCTCCTCTTTGCCAGGCCCGAGTCCTATAGCAAAGACGCTGAGCTGGCAGAGACCCTGCCAGAAGGTGAGCCRCAGGAGGCTGGGGGGAGGGCAGCTGGACTCCTACAGTGGGTGTCAGGCCTAGGTCAGCTGCTGCCTTGTTCTGCTCTGTCCTCACAGGGGACCGAGAGGCTCTGTGGGCGGAGCTCAAGGCTGGGGCTGAGTCTGGCTGGGACTTCTCTTCTCGCTGGCTGGTTGGAGGCCCAAACCCCGACTTGCTCAGCAGCATCCGAACGAGCAAATTCGTGCCTGTTGATCTGAATGCCTTCCTGTGCCAGGCAGAGGGGCTGATGAGCAACTTCTACTCCAGCCTGGGTGAGCACAGCCCCCCCGGGAGGAGGGGACTGATCAGCTTGGTTTTCTGCCTTGGCTAATGGGCCGKGCGGTAGGGAAGGCCTGCCTGCCCAAACCCCATCATTGGCAAGGTCAGTGAGTCATCTCTGCAGTAGCATAAATGTACTGGGCCCCCCTCATCGTCACACTACCCCTCCCCTTCCTACTGTGAGGCCTCGAGGACCTATGGGGGGACACCCCAGTCCACAAATCCAAATTCCCGCCATTCCCTTTTTCCAAAGCTATACTTGGCCCTCTCAGAACCAGGGGGACACACATACAGAGACCCAGGCAGGCCCAAGGAGCAGTCCAGGGCCATTTGCTCAGGAATTTTATGACTCAGAGGCTTGAAAAGTGGTGGGCTCTGGGGAGATATGGCCCCTTGACCAGGATGGCTCAGCCCCTGGGGAAGAGCACAATAATGCAGATCAAAGGAGAGTCATTTAAGACATGGGGACCCAAGCACAGGGCCCTGCTTGTTCAGTCCAAATGCAATGCCACCACCAGGGAACCACTCCCAGGCTGAAAGGTACAGAAACTTGCGGGCCCAGCGCTTGGCCGCCCTCAATGCCCTCCTGTGGGAYGAGCAGAAAGGCGCCTGGTTCGACTACGACACAGAGAAGGGCAAGAACCTGGAGTTTTACCCTTCCAACCTCACCCCGCTCTGGGCCGGCTGCTTCTCTGACCCTGCCACCGTGGACAAGGCTCTGAAATACCTGGAGGTGAGGGACAGCTGGCCGCTCTGAGCCCCTGGAGACACTGAGCAGGGACCTGGCAGGCCAGCCACCTACCCAGTGCTGTCAGTGCCTGTCCTCGCCTGCGGGTCCCACTCAGGYCACCAGGGGACAGCTGTGAGCCAAGAAGAGGAGGGAAGGAAGGGCCCCTCTGCTCCCTGAGGGCCCAGCATCCTGGCTCCCTGCCCAGGCTCCACCCACAGTCCCAGCAATGTCTGGAACCTTCTAGGACAGCCAGGTCCTGACCTACCAGCATGGGATTCCGACCTCTCTCCGGAACACAGGCCAGCAGTGGGATTTCCCCAATGCCTGGGCCCCCCTGCAGGATCTGGTCATCAGAGGTAGGCAGGCAGGCAGGGGATCTGTGCCAGGGTGGACCCCAGCTGCTCCGGGACTGGGGAGGTGTGACTGAAGGATGCGGGACCCCTGGTCCTTTCTCTGGCTCCTCTGTTCTCTCTGCCCCGCAG